ACTACAGATGATTTGGTAGGCAAGGCAAACACCGTGCTTGCCTTGCCTATTGGATAATCTGCCTCTGAGTGGGGCCTGGATCTTCTAAACAATGGGAAACCATTGGAAGTTTTAAAGTAGTAGAGTGACAGTCAAAGTGGTGCTTTAAGAAGATTAATCTGTCAGCAGTGTGTAGGATGGGTGGGAGAGGGGAGAGACTGGAGGCAGTTAAGAGACTATTGCAATACACTGGTCCGAGTGTAAGGTAGTGTATTAAGCACTTGAATTAGGAAAGCCATAGCAGGAGCAGACAGGATAGAGACATTGTGAAAGGAAAAGAAATAGAAGTGTGTGACTAACTGGATGTGGAGGTGAGGGAGAAAGAGAGGTTGGAATTAAATAAGGGACACTGAAGTTTGGAGCCTGTGAGACTAGAAGAATGGCAATAATGCCAGTGAGAGAGGTGTGGGACTGCAGTCCTGGAGAAAAGTCTGAACTTGAGATAGAAAATGGAAGATATTTCTAAAAAGTGATCCTTGCCACTATGGCAATGAATGAGATCAACTTCGGAAGAGAGGAAGTCTAAGGGCAAAAGCTTGGGGGGGGGGTGCCTTTATGGAGTTGGTGGGGCAAAGAGGGACAATAAGTAATTGGGTTAGGCAAGAGAAGTCAGAGAGGGGAAGAAATAGGAAATTGTGAAAAAGGAATTTCAAGAATGTTGAATGATCAGCACTGTGAATCTGGTTGAGGAGTCAGAGAAAAAGGAGGATGAGAAAACACTATTGATTTTGGTGATCTGCAAGGAGCAGTTGCAGGATAGAGCCAGCTATTAGGGGGTGAAGAAGAAAGAGAGTAGGGGTGACAAATTGGAGACAGTGAGTATATAAAATGCTCAGAATAATTTGTGTGGTGAATTTAAAGAGCAAAACAGACTTGTACAGGGTGCTAGGACTGTTGAAATGTTTCCCTAGTATTAAGGATAAACTAAGCACATTTGTTAGCTGAAGGGAAGAGTGGAGATATAGAGATTAAAGATGCGGGGTGACGGCAAGGGTGATAGTGGCTGGAAGAAAATCCTGATGAAGGTGATAAGGAGTAGGATCAAGAGCTAGGTGGAATATTTGCTTTGGCAAATGTGAGGGTGGTCTCTTACTTGGAAAATGAAAAGAGAGAAAAGAGGCAGACATGATACAGAAACATTTGGAGATGGAGATGAGGGTATGAAACTGGAAACACGGGTTTTCAAGGAAGGAAGTCTGTGGTGTATGTACTGGCTGGTTTTGGTGTTACCAGTAGATCATCTGCAGAAGGGAAAGGGAGCAAACATGGGACTGAGAACGTCAGGAGTATGTGTCCCCAGAACCTGGCCCAGTTCCTGGCACATAGAAAATGCTCAATAGATATTCGTTGCATAAATAAGTGAATATGTGGACATGATTTAGAACAACCAGTATGAGACATGGGCTATTCTGTTATAGAAAGTGAATAAAAGGATTGCAGAACAACACCCAAACAGACTGGCTAAGATGAGAAAGATAAATTATACCAGAGTTGGTTAGGATGTGGAACACCTGAATTGTTTGGTCAATGCTGGTGGGAATGTAAATTGGTACAACCACTTTGAAAAACTATTTGGCATGCAATGTCTACTAGCTAAATATAAGTATGCTTCATACCCCAGCAATTCCACTCATAGTTTATACCCAAGATAAGTGAATGCAGAAGACAAAAGACATAAACAGGAATGTCCATAACAGCTTTGTTTAAAACAGACCCAAACTGGAAAAAAACTAAATGACCACCACCTGTAGAATGGATGAAAAAAATGTCATGTTGTACTTGTTGTTGTTGTTAGGTGCCATCAGGTCAGTTCCAACTCATAAAAAAAAGAAAAAACTCGTTGCCATCGAGTCGATTCCGACTCATAGTGACTGTATAGGACAGAGTAGAACTGCTCCATAGAGTTTCCAAGGAGCACCTGGTGGATTCGAACTGCCGACCTTTTAGTCAGCAGCCATAGCATTTAACCACTATGCCAACAGGGTTTCCTCCAGCTCATAGCAACCCTATATACAACAGAACAAAACACTGCTGGGTCCCTCGTCATCCTTATAGTCTTTGTTGTTATGCTTGAGGCATTGTTACAGCCACTGTGTCAACCCATCTCCTTGAGTGTCTTCCTCTTTTTCCCTGACCCTCTACTTTACCAAGAATGATGTTCATCTCCAGGGACCGTCTCTCGTGACAACATGTCCAAAGTGTGTGAGACAAAGTCTCGCCATCCTTGCTTCTAAGGAGCGTTTTGGCTATACTTCTTCTAAGACAGATTTGTTTGTTGTTCTGGAAGTCCATGGTATATTCAATATTCTTCACAAACACCATAATTCAAAGGCGTCAGTTTTTCTTCGGCCTTCCCTATTCATTGTCCAGCTATCCGATGCATATGAGACGATTGAAAACACCATGGCTTGGGTCAGGTGTCCCTTAGTGCTTAAAGCGATATCTTTGCTTTTTAACACTTTAAAGAGGTCTTTTGCAGCAAATTGGCCCAATGCAATGCGTCCTTTGATTTCTTGACTGCTGCTTTCATGGGCATTGATTGTGGATCCAAGTAAAATGAAATCCTTGACAACTTCAATCTTTTCTCCATTTATCATGATGTTGCTTATTGATCCAGTTGTGAGGATTTTTGTTTTCCTTATGTTGAGGTGTAATCCGTACTAAAGGCTGCAGTCTTTGATCTTCATCAGTAAGTGCCTCAAGTCCTCTTCACTTTCAGCAAGTAAGGTTGTGTCATCTGCATATCGTAGGTTCTTAATGAGTCTTCCCCCAATCCTGATGCCTTGTTCTTCTTCATATAGTCCAGGTGAAAGGATACAACACTGGCACACACCTTTCCTGACTTTAAACCACACTGTATCCCCTTGTTCTCTTTGAACAATTGCCTCTTGGTCTATGTACAGGTTCCTCATGAGCACAATTAAGTCTTCTGGGATTACCATCCTTCACAATGTAATCCATAATTTGTTATGATCCACACAGTTGAATGCCTTTGCATAATTGATAAAACACAAGCAAACATATTTCTGGTATTCTCTGCCTTCAGTCAAGATTCATCTGACATTGGCAATGATATCCCTTGTTCCAGGTCCTCTTCTGAATCTGGCTTGAATTCTTGGCACTTCCCTGTCGATGTACTGCTGCAGTTGCTTTTGAATGCTCTTCAGCAAAATTTTACTCGCTTGTGATAATGATATTGTTCGATAATTTCTACATTTGGTTGGATTACTTTTCTTTTTTCCTTTTAGAGTCTTTAAAGTATTTTACTTAGGAAAAGGGAACCTAATACTTATTGTCATTTGTTCTCTTATCTGGTGGTGGAAACATTTTGTCTGTTGGAAACAGTGGCAGATTGCCAATGATCTATATAAAATGATTTTCAGAGGCTGCGCAGAATACAAATATTGCTAGTACAAAACACTGTATTTTTCAATGATGCCATTTGTAATAGAAATTAGAGTCATTCTCCACGTAACTGAGAAAAAGATATCATGGAGTAAGATAAGTTAAATATATATATATATTTTACACATATATATATATCTTTATTACCAGTCTGCACTTTCTGGCATAAAATTTTAAACATATTATCACATCATCAGTTAATAGTAGCCATAGATAAACCACAAGAGACAGAATTCACCCACAATGAAAACCTAAAATTCAACATAAATACCATCAGCACCCCATGTTCATGTTAATACAAGGAAATAGTCCTGAATTGTGCAAAGAACTTTGTATGTACATATGCCACACATAAATTCTTGAGCATCTCCTCCCCAAAATTCTTTCTGTTACAGCAGATATTTGCTGCATCCAGTGGCCTATAGCAGTTTTCTGGGCAGAACGTCCCTGATAAGAGCAGCCCATGGTGAGTTGTCTGTTTTTAAGGCTTATCTGCAGAACAAATTACAGCCTCCGGGACACCAGGTAACCTCATGGATTACCACACAGCCCAGTGGGAATTCCCAGTTAGTGGAGCTCACTGAGGATGCTGGGAGAAAGTTGAAAATCTACCCGAACCAATGAGAAGATCTGTTTTGCAGGATCAGAAGATGAAAGACTTTTCATCTTTAATATATTTCCCCAACAGGAGTATTGCATTGTCCTCTTTAAAATAACATCCTAATACATTCAAGGCAAGTTAAAAAATTGAAACTGAATCCTCAAAATTCAATAATGAAGACTAAGCATTAAATAAAACATTCATGTTTACAAGGACTTGGGAGATTACCACCTAGCTATGTAACTTTTAATAGATAAGAGGACAAAAACAGCTCTTGAAAATATAAACAAAATTATATTTACATATATATACGTATATATTTACGTATATATATATCTATCATAAAACTTTATAGAAAGAACATGTTTTCAGAAGTATAAGAATGGTTTGAAATATATAGGTAATATATTATAATAGAGATAATAACCATTCTATGGCCAACATTTTAAAAATAAACCAACCCAATTTATGGCATATATTAAGCTATCTGTCACAATCCTATGGCTTTAATTTTACATTTTTAAAGTTATCCCCTTCCAACCTAAGCCCCTGCACTCCACCTTCAAATGGTAACTAAATGTATTTATAAAATGGGACCTCCAGCTTCCACCTCAGGGGAGATTTGAACAGAGCAATTGAAAAATTTAGGTGGTGCTGTAGGAAGGAACAGAACTGAAAAAACCCTGGTTTCTCATTATCCCCCTAAAGACTACTAGAAGGACCTGCCAGCTTCTAGGAGTAGGGAAATGATAACTCTTTCCAGTCCTTGGAGAAGAGCTTGGGTTCTTATATTTGTATGAGGCTCCTCTCTTCCTTCCTCATATCTGTCATTCAGCAGAGTTGACTTTCTGCTGAAGGCTCATCTCCCCTGAGCCGAGCGATTTCTCCTCAGGCCGATGTCCCCAAGCCTCTGTGGTCTTTGGGAGCTCTAGGGAATGAGGGTGCGGTCTCGCCCTCACACCCAGTGCTCCAGGTCATAAGCCTGGATCTCTTCACACTCTTCCTGGGAAACCCTTGTCTTCCAGCCCATGGATCTGATGAATCGAAATCTTAGCTTGTGGAACAATGGGTGCTGGGAGGGGTTCTTCCCATAGAGGAATGAAAAGATGGCTTGTTTGGGGGGCTGGTTGTCCTTTTCCATGTTGTTGGCCAGGTAGAGAGCTAGGAAGAAATGGATCCGCTGGTACTGCAGGGAGAAGAGGCCAGCCCGGCTAGAGTAAGCAATGACCATGCTCAGGAGATACTTGTCAGAGACCCTCAGGTTTTTGTCCCAGGCCAGGAAGTTTTTAATGACAGGATCCTCAGGCAGCCTGTTGAAGACCTCATGATGCTCAGGCAGCACAGATGACACCCGCTGTCTCTTCAGCTTCATCTTGAGCCTGCACAGTGACTCCACGACCCTGATGTCCTCAGCCGCTGGGGTTATTTCCTCCTTGAATGCTGTTGACAAATCCCTCTTCCAGCCAGGAGACTGAGGCAGGGGGTTAGGCTCTACCCAGGGGGCTGATGGTCCTGGGGTTTCTTCATCTACGATCAACCCTGAGGAGCTTGGCTGGGGACTCAGGTCCTCAGACTGGGAACTTGGTTGACAACTGGCCATGATTTCTCTCAAACTACTTCTTCCCTTCTACAGAACTGAAGCCCTAATAGGTCCAAACCACTATTCAGTATTCTGGCTAACTCAAGCCTGTTATCTCTTCTCCAGACTAGGGAGAAGTTAGTGGTGGAAAGAGCTCTGAGAAGATGCTGTTGCTCACATTCACTGCCAAGCATCCACGGAGTTTGGTGCCTCCAGTCAGGAAGGTTAGAAGCCTCTGACGTCATCAGTCAAACCAAACTGGCAACCAGTTTGAAGGAAAACACATGTAACTGTCAGAGTAATGCGTGTTCTTCTCCTGGAGATCTGGGGTCAACGGTATCTCATGCCACTGCTCCAACCTCCAACCATCCCCCCAAGCTACCCTCAATGTCTCAGAGTCATTGTATACCCTACTCCCAGCAGACGCCATGTTCTCTGCATTCTACACTTGAAACACGTGGGATTCTCAGGTGTAGCCTAACCTTCCACAGTTTTCTAGATGTCCCTTATGAGTGGTCAATAGAAAATTGGCTTGCTGCCTCCAGGGATGGAAAGGTCACCCAAATAACAGGTAATTCTTTTCTATTGGATAAGTTTAGTTATTGGAAGGCCCCTTCTTAAAAAAAGAATAGGATTGGAGGATGCTATTTGGGGCTGCTTCCTACTAAGTAGCCTGTTGAAAACCTCATGGTGGATCACCTTTCTTGGGAATAGGCATAAATATGGATCTCTTCCAGTCGGTTGGCCAGGTAGCTCTCTTCCAAATTTCTCAACATAGACAAGTGAGCACTTCCAGCGCTGCATCAGTTTCTTGAAACATCTCAGTTGGTATTCCATCAATTCCTGGAGGCTTGTTTTTTGCCAATGTCTTTAGTGCAGCTTGGACTTCTTCTTTCAGTACCATTGGTTCTTGATCGTATGCTACCTCCTGAATTGATTGAACATTGACCAATTCTTTTTGGTACAGTGACACTGTATTCCTTTCATCTTCTTTTGATGCTTCCTGAGTCATTTAATATTTTCCCTGCAGAATTCTTCAGTATTACAACTTGAGGCTTGAATTTTTTCTTCAGTTCTTTCAGCTTGAGAAATACCAAGTGTGTTCTTCCCCGTTGGTTTTCTATCTCCAGGTCTTTGCGTATGTCATTATACTTTACTTTGCCTTCTCTAACCCTCCTTTGGAATCTTTTGTTCAGCTCTTATTACTTCATCATTTCTTCCTTTCACTTTAGCTACTCTATGTTCAAGAGCAAGTTTCAGAGTCTCTTCTGACATCCATTTTGGTCTATTCAATATTGTCATATTTAGATAACGAACTACTCTACAGCAATCGGAATGAATGAACTACAACCGTGTGCAATAATATGGATGGAGCTCAAAAACAAAATGCTAAGTGAAAGAAGCCAGACACAAAAGAGCACATCCTGTATGATTCCTTCTATATAAGTTGCAAAAACAGGTAAACCTAATCTATGCTGTTAGAGGTCAGGATAGTGGTTGGCCTTGGGGGTTAATGACTGGCAGGGAGCATGAAAAGTATTCCTGGGATGCTGGTAATATCTGGTTTCTTCACCTAGGTACTGGTTACAAGTGTCTAGTCAGTTTGTGAAAATTAAATTGCAAATTTTTCTGTATATAGTGTTATACTTCAATACTTTTTTTAAAAATGCAGAACATTTGATGGAGCCCTGTTCAGGTTGGAGAGCACAATGGCACATGGATCTAGTGTGGTGTGCTGGGAATAATGTAGCCATATTTAGATTGGGCTTGGCTACTTACTACCTGTGAGATTTGGATAACTTGTTAAACTCTATAAATCTATCCCTTTGTCTTTAAAATGGAGGTAATAGTAACAGCTACACTTTATATAGCTCTGGCTACACGTCAGACATTTTCCTAAATACTTTACAGAATTAATTTGCTCCCACCTCACAACAACCTTATGAGTTAGGTTCTATTCCCATTCTCTAGGTGAAGAAGTTTAAGCATGTTGTTGTTGTTGCTAGGTGCCGTCAAGCCAGATCCGACTCATAGTGACCCTATGTACAACAGAATGAAACATGACTCTGACCCTCTACTTTACCACGTATGATGTCCTTCTCCAGGGACTGGTCCCTCCTGATAACATGTCCAAAGTATGTGAGACGAAGTTTTGCCATCCATGCTTCTAAGGAGCATTCTGATTGTACTTCTTCCAAGAAAGATTTGTTTGCTCTTCTGGCAGTCTATGGTTATTCAATATTCTTTACCAACACCTCAATTCAAAGACGTCAATTCTTCTTTGATCTTCCTTATTCATTGTCCAGCTTTCGCGTGCATATGAGGCGATTGAAAATATCATAGCTTGGGTCAGGTGTACTTTAGTCCTCAGTGTGACATCTTTGCTTTCAACACTTGAAGGAGGTCTTTTGTAGCAGATTGGCCCAATACAATGTGTCTTTTGATTTCTTGACTGCTGCTTCCATGGGTGTTGATTGTGGATCCAAGTAAAATGAAATCCTTGACAACTTCAATCTTTTGTCCGTTTATCATGATGTTGATTATTGGTCCCATCATAAGGATTTTTGTTTTCTTTATGTCGAAGTGTAGTCTATATTGAAGACTGTGGTCTTTGATCTTCCTCAGTAACTGCTTCAAGGCCTCTTCACTTCATCAAGCAAGGTTGTGTCATCTGCATAACACAGGTTCTTAATGAGTCTTCCCCCAATCCTGATGCTGGGTTCTTCTTCACATAGTCCAGCTTCTCGGATCTTTGCTCAGTATACAGGCTGATTAAATATGGTGAAAAGATACAACCCTGACATACACCTTTCCTAACTTTAAACCATGCAGTATCCCCTTGTTCTGTTCAAACGACTGCCTCTTGATCTATGTACAGGTTCCTCATGAGCACAATTAAGTCTTCTGGAATTCCCATTCTTCACAATGTAATCCATAATTTGTTATGATCCACACAGTTGAATGCCTTTGCATAATTGATAAAACACAGGTAACGCATCTTTCTGGTATTCTCTGCTTTCAGCCAAGATCCATCTGACACCAGCAATGATATCCCTCATTCCATGTCCTCTTCTGAATTCTGCTTGAACTTCTGGCAACTCCCTGTTGATGTACTGCTGCAGCCACTTTTGAATGATCTTCAGCAAAATTTTACTTGTGTGTGATATTAATGATATTGTTTGATAACTTCCACATTCTTTTGGATCACCTTTCTTTGGAATGAGCACAAATATGGATGTCTTCCAGTCGATTGACCAGGTAGCTAGCTGTCTTCCAAATTGCTTGGCATAGACGAGTGAGCATTTCCAGTGCTGCATCTGTTTCTTGAAACATCTCAATTGGATAGGGAGACTATTCAGGTAGGCCTGATCTAATCACGTGAGCCTTTAAAAGGAGAGAGCTTTCTCTGGCTGGTGGCATAAGACAAAGTCAAAGAAATGGGAAATCTGAGAAGGATTTGATGTGCCATTGTTGCATTAAAGATGGAGGGGGCCATGTGAGAAGGAATGTGGGTGATGTTTAGGAGCTGAGAGCAGATTCTGGATGACAGTCAACAATAAAATGTGGACTTTGTTCCTATATGCACAAGGAACTGGATTTTTCCTGAAGGATCTTGGAAGTGGCTTCTTCCCCAGAGCCTCAGATAAGAGCACATCCCTGTTAGCACCTTAATTTCGGACTTGTGAGACACTGAACGGAAAATCCAGCCAAGCCCACCCAGACTTCTGACCTAGAGAAGAAATAATAAATGAGTGTTGTTTGTGGTAGTTTTTTACACAGTAATAGAAACTAATTCACTCATAGAGGTTAAATTGCCTGCCCAAAGTCGTAAGTAGGATTTAAAATCAAGGCTTTCTCACTACAACACCTATGTATTTGCCTCTAAATCACCTTGGCTTCCATTTATTATATGTCCAGCAATTTACATATACTGTTGCTAATCCTTGCAATACAGGTATTGTTGCTCTCATTTTACAGGTTAGTAAACTAAGGACCAGAGAGTTAAGGTGCTTTTCCAAAGTCACACAGCTAGCAAATGGTGGATATATTTTTCCCAAAGCTTAAATGTGAACTCAGGTTTTACTGACTCCAAAATTCATACTTTTTCTCTTTCATCATGGAATGGAGGGTGTTCTCAAGCTTTGACAAGCTTTAAGAAGGATGTGCAATGGGCAGGTAAGGTTCAGTGAAAGAGTGCTGGTAGCCTGGTCTTCATTGCCTAAAAGACAAAGACCAAAGCCATAGCAAAGTAATGTCCACCCCTTTCTTCCCATCTGTGACCCATTGAATGCGTTCACTTTATTATAAGACCCTGGGAGCCAAGGCTCTAGGCATATAGGTGAAATAGAAAACTATTGTTTAAGCACTAACCACTCATCTTTTTCAACCCTCTTACCTAGTGTAGGTAACTCTCTCACAATATATTTCTCTCTCTCTCTCTCTCTCACACACACACACACACACCCCTCTAAAACTATTTCCTTAACAATCTACCTCCTCATTGCCGAGGACTTGTTACATACACAAAGAAGTGCTTGTGCTGAGGTGACTCAGTGGCTTTTGCCATCCAGTACAGGGATACAGATTAAGAACTATCTCCACTCACCTGAGTTCCAGCTCCAGCTCCCTTATCATAGGAGATGTTCAGAGATTTCTGGCAAGTATCTCAAACTGTCATGGTGATCCCGTATGTGTCAGAGTAGAACTGTGCTCCATAGGGTTTTCAATGGCTAATATTAGGAAGGAGACTGCCAGGTCATTCTTCTGAGGCACCTCTGGGTGAACTCAAACTT